AAAGATGTAAAGACTGTAAGAGCCAAATTAAATATTCCAGATCAAGCCTCTTCTTTTTTAAAAAACAAAAAAACTTTTAACTATTAAGTAACATAAACATGGAATGATAGCAATCAACACTGCATGCCTTGTTATTCTCAAGCATCAAGATATGAATGTTTCAGTAGATCAGAATTTTCTGTTTGTTGTTAAGTTTACCATGCTTGATTTGTAAGATGAAATCATTATATCATGTTCATTTTCTTTAAAAAGTAATCTCTGCAAGCTGAATAACCTGCATCATTGAGATAAATTGTGGCCAGGGCATTTTAGTGCTGAATGGTTGTAATTATAACATGGTTTTAATTACATCAGATATATAAAATTCCTGATGTCAAAGAATTCAGATCTATATTACTGTACAAAACTTCACTTCCTGTGGTACAAAAAGTATTCCTAAAGGAATGAAATTATTCTTGAAATGCATATATTCAAAGCATATTGGTTAATATAAAACTTTGAATCTGATCAAAATCAGCCTACTTCAAATGTTACAGGAGGTTCACATGGAAGGTACTTCTTCTTTGGATCTAACAAGCTCTCCATGTCTGCTTCTGGTATGGTGAACTCTTGTCATTTCCAAACTTAGAATAATTGTCACAGATGATGGTTGAAAAGTTGTAGATTAATCCCGATGCATAATAGTGCAATAATATTACACCAGTTCCTACACCTAATGGTGCAATAACCAATACAGCAAGATGGTAGTTTCCATTTTCCATTTCTTCAGAAACCTCACTGCAATAGCTAGAGGAGATCCTGCGGTAAAGAGGCTCTTTTCCATGAAGTTAAATTTGTTTGAGAAATCCTGAACCATATGGAGCAAACTATGACCTGCCAGGAGTTGCTGTACTACAATTCCTAATTCCTCTCCATTGGTCAGATTAGTTTCTGGGACTCAAAGTTCATCAACATCCGGAAAACTATTCTATTGGAGGATCCTTGTTCAACCCTCTTCATCCACTTCCTAAGCTACTTATTTCTATTAAAGTTGTGGGCATTTTCTTAGTCTGTTTTAATTTGAACTGTTCTCTTTTTTTACTTTTTTTTTTTGCAAACTGTTGTTTTCTTTCTTTTCACTCCATACAAAATCTTTCATTCTCAATTTTTCAACAACAGTTATGTACATGTTTTCCTCATATGTAGCCTCTTTCACTTCGTTGTACCATTTTTTCAGACTTTCATTACTCAGCTTCTCACATTTCTATAGCATTCTGCAATGTAATTCTTTTCATTCTGTTTCAAGCAGCTTCCATATCCTCTTTTTCTACATTCATTTTTCATCCAATCTATTTGGAGATTAATCTACTTTCTAATACTTCTCATAGTTGCATCTTCTATTCCTGCAGTTGTTATACCTTCACTCTACTGTTTTCAGTTATTTCCTCTTTCCAAATCCATTTAACCCCAAGATCCATTCTTGACATCTTGATTAATTATTAGCACTCTACACATGCCTCAAAAATTGGTGAATGATGATTTATAGGACAGCCTCTTGTGGATTAGAGGGCCTATTTTGCACAGATTAATGCATGCCTTTATCAGCTGTGCTTGCAATTGTGGAGTACAGACTAAAATCTGTTAAATGCTATCATCATTAGCAGAAAGTGCTGCATATGGAGCAGATATGACTAAGGCTGGACATATAGTCTATATCAGTGCTTTTCAAACTTAGCAACTTTAAGATGTATGGATTTCAACTGGGGAATTCTGGATATTGACATCTATATGTCTTAAAATTGCCAAGCTTGAAAAGCACTGGTATATATTGTCCCTATATTATTATTTAAAAAAAACAGAGTTCAAGTCAAGCATTTTTTCCTAATAAAATAAAAGGAATCAAAATTCTAATTTTGACAAGATTACTTTTTACTACTATTCTCTTGTATGAACACCCTACCAGATGTAAGGAAAGTGGTTAAAACAGGTATTAGAAGTGCTCTTGAAGTTATATGCACTGAATTTGAAATATACAATACAGTTTTTAAAAGTTCAGTAAACTATAATAATTTAAAGGGTCAAATTTCTGAATATGATTTAACGTTGTTTTGAGGAGTAAGTTCACCAAAGTGTTTATGAAGTTAAGCTGCATAGAGCTAACAGAACAACTCTTTGCTTAGTAACAGCTTAATATCTTGCATTAATGATAATATACCTCAGTGTAAAGTAAAATAAAATATTTTCTAAGACTTTAAGATATTAAATATTAAACAGGGAGCCTAGAGGTTGTCGCTATACTCATATAAATTTGAATAACTTCTTCTGAGACTTACAATCCAAGTACTCTCCCTTAGCTAAAGTTTAATGGATTTAATAAAATAAATTTGAAAAACATCTGATAGTCTGATATATACTTATGTTAATAGTATTGGTAATAAGCCACTACCATTGTTACTCTTAAACACATCTTGTAACCTCAAACAATGCTTAAAAACTGAAATATTGATATATATATATATATGTTTTCTGAGGTTTTTGCAGGTGTTTGTATGTAGGTCTTTGGTTATTCGGGTTTTCTCCCGCATCAAATTGGAAGTGTCTTGGCGACGTTTTGATGTTCAATGTTCCTAGAAACACGAAGCCGAAAACACCAGCCTGAAGATGACGAATGGGACTTCGTTGAAACGTCGCCAAGACATATACACACACACACACACACATATACACACACACACACACACACACACATACATACATACATATACATATACATATACACATACACATACACACACACACATATACAGATAGATAGATAGATAGATAGATAGATAGATAGATAGATAGATAGATAGATAGATAGATATCAACATATTTTAATTGTGTACATGGCCAATAATGACCAATAATTCAGTCCAGTGAATCAGTAATTATTAAAGTGGTCTACACAATGCAAAAACATTATTTTTCTGCATATCATGAAGGAAAAGAAAATTTCTATTAAATAAATGGTTCCTTAATTTAGTTTTTAAAACTAATTTTAATTTTGATAATAAGATTGATTTCTTTATGCTGCATTATCACATGGCTTTCTGTCCTTATCTTGCTTCCTTTTATGGCAATCATTCATATCATGGACACTGAATGTTCATATCAAGATAAACATTATTGACACGAATATATTTATGGGTGAAACCTTGAATTTGGTCATTCATTAATACAGTGGTACCTTGGAACTCAGCTGCTTTGAAACTCATCAAGTATGGTACTCGATACATTCTGTAGCGAACGTTTTGCCCTGGTACTCATAATTTGTTTGGTACTCAAAGCACAAGCTAGAATAGCTGCCTCGCTTCATTATTCCTCATGGGAAAAAATTGTTTGGCATTCATTGTTTTTGGTACTCATCACACCTTCTGGAACTAATTAACAACAAGTACAAGGTACCATTCTAGTATATTAGAAAATACTTACTGCCTTTTCAGCTATCTTTGCAGGACCATAGCTGTTGAAGTTCTGCCTGTGTGAGCTCAAGAGATTTCATTATTTGCTTTATTATCATAAAAAAAACCTACTGAAATTTGCTGTGAAGCAGTAAATTTTAAAAATAAGTTCCACTTGAAATTTAAAGAACCTGTTTTATAATAGGTGTATATGTACCTATATAATTCTTACTTTTGCAACAAGATAGTTTATGTTCATTTCTGTTTTATACTTAATGCGGGTTAATTCATATAAGGAGTAATTTCTGTAAATACTCTATCTTTCACAATTAAAGCAAACCAATATAACATAATCAAAACAGAACTTTTATTTTGATTATTAATGAAGATGTAAGCTATGAAATTCTGTAGCAAATTATGAATTTGTTTTGATAAAGATTTTATTTTAAGATTCCAAATGAAAGCTACTTGCATTACAATATTTTCATCTAATGTAAAAAAAATCTGAGAAAAACTATTTAAAAATTTACTTGAAAATTTGGTAGTTTCTAGAACATGAAATCTATACATGCTCAGACATGAGTAAGTATTGTGTGATATGAAAAAATGTGCTATTTAGACAAATCGTGAAGAAGAATTATCCAAGCACCTCTTTGGGAACCATTAAAGGAGCTTTTTAGGTTCATGCAACTGCTTGAAAAGTCATTCCTGTTTGCTGCATAGTTAAGCATAAACAAAAATTCTATTGTGACAGCCAGAAAAAACACACACGCAAACACACATGCAGAGACAGTCACAAGCAGTTTCTGAAGCAAACAAATGCAGCTGCTGATCACTTCAAAGAGAATGAAGAACCCTTTCAAATGCTTTGCATAGTCCTAATCAATTCTTAACCAGTACAAAAATAATATGGATAAAGAACTGTATTTTCATCTATAAAAGGAAGTGAATGAATGTCCACTTAATATACATATACACATACATATACAGACACAGAAACATACACACATACACACAGAGAGAGAGAGAGAGAGAGAGAGAGAGAGAGAGAGAGAGAGAGAGAGAGAGAGAGAGAAATGTGTGTGTGTGGGGAGGCTTTGTAACATGACTATAGTGATGAACAGAAATTCAGGCATTTGTTGGCCTAATTTTCAAAATTCTTTGTAAGAAATAACTTTAGGTCTCCGCCACCAGATAGCTGTCCCTTTCTTGCAATTGGCTACTTGGGAGAGCTTGTTAGAAGGTTCTAGCAGGATTGTTCAGGTATCCAATATCTTTCTCTAAAGAACAGTATTCTCAACCATCTGGGATGCCGGTTTTCTACCGACTGTCCACCTTTGAGACTGGTGCACATGAAGCTATAAAGGAGGAAGGGGACACCTTCTTACCCAGTCAGATCAGCTGGATTAACTCTGGCAATTCTCACCAGTCTGATTGGCAACCAAATACTTTAGGTTGGTTTCTCTGATAGTTGGACCAATATATTAAATACAAACATGGTATCTTTTAGCTTAGCACAAATATTAAAATACTACATCACAGGTCCTCAGGATAAAAAGATGAGAAGTTTGAATTTACCTGCATTCTGACCTTGTGTTATTTTTCAGCTGTTGGATGAGATGTTTAGCTACAGCAGTGAAACTGTTACTCATTCGATAAATATCTCTGCTTTGGATACCCAAGATGTTGGAGAAGGTGTCAGTGATGTATTTGATCTTCAACAAAATGATATGATGGAAAGAATGTTCCATGTTGGCCAGCTGATTAAGCAAATAGATCAGGCAAATCCGAGCTCGTTCCTATTTAGGAAAAAAAAGGAGTTTAAAATAGATAATACTGTTAAAAAGTTGAGTTAGCATTGTTTGAGAGAAGGGAGTGGGGGGTGGAGAGAACCCAGAGCTATTTTGCTAATTGTTTTCAGTGCACTTTAAAAGCTCTATTATTATGGACTTGTGCAAAATAAACAAGTTGTACAGAGAGGGAAACTTTTATCCAAATAATAGAAACACAATACATTTAGAATTTGTTTAAAATTTTAAAGAATGCATCGTTTTTACTACATTCCCCTAATATTTTCTTTATTGTATAGGAACTAAATAGAATGAGAAAAGTTGGAAAAAGATGAACTATAAAAGGTGGATGTCAGGTTTCATGGAGAAATACAAATAATTGGAGAAAAGCAGGTCTGCAAATAACCTGGCCTTGTGCCATGAAGGGTGATGTAACAACAAGTACCTTGAATGTTACTCCTAATAGGAATCAGTACAGCTCAAGAAGTAGTGGTGTTGCATGGATCTAACAAAATCAACCCATAACTACAGGTGCTATTGCATTCTAGACTAACTGCAGCTTCCAAATGATTTTCAAGGGTAATCCCAAATAGATCATCTTGATATTTCATCATCTGCCAACAGATACTGTAGCTTTATAAGAAGTACAGCTTTGTTTCAGGAACAAAATATGAGTGTAACAGTTACACATTTTATCAATTTTCATGTACATGTCACAATAGTTAGTAGTTTGATAGCAGACTTTATGAACTTGGCTAAATATCTTATTATGGGTGTATGAAGCAAAACCTAAATGCTACTTTAAACATTCTGTAGTGAATGAATATGTTACAATGAAGATCTAGTCCTATAGAATCTGGATGTCAAATATAGCTGACAAATACAGATTTCTGCAAATATGGAACAGTATCACACATGCACATCTACAGCTGGGAGCTTATCAGTCCAAACCAAGTAAGGAGAAATTTTCTAACAGTGAGAACAATTAATCAATGAAATACTTGTCTCCTAGAATTGTGGGTCCTCCATTACTGGAGGTTTTCTCCAGCATGGCAAACTATTCCTATTCTTTTTTTTAAAGAGAGCTATACAGAATGATTGGAATGGGGCACCAATTAAAAATCTTTACGTTTAAATAATAGTTAATAAATATGAATCAAAAGTAATGATTTTATATTATCTCAACTGTATGTGGCAGATGATGTTGTCAGACAGATCAGTAAGCAAATAAAAGTGTAATGAGCATTATAAAAAAGCTATTTCCCAACAGTATTTGTAATTGATCCAAGTGGGAGGAAAAATTTCCACTAGTGATTTCCTACTTTGATCCAGTCAGCAGAAATCCATAAACATTGAAATTCTGCTGCTCGTTTTCAGTGTGTTAAAGGATAATAATTGCACTTTTATAGGATATGTAATTAATAAGCAAACTCAAATCTCCAAATTCCTCTCAACAACTTTAGAGTCTTCCTCTTTAGCATAACTAAGATTGAAAAATTCCTGGTAAAAGTGATTTTTGGCTTTTATTTAGTATTGTTATTGTAGGCTGATTTTGAGGGTTGGAAGAATATGTTTATATTCTTTATAGGAAGCAGATTTTCCATTTTCATGGTATACAGTCATATTTGTTTATTGGCAAATGAGGTTAGCATAAAAACTAATTAAAATGTCTCATTTTGTTGTACTGTATAAAAATATTAGGAAAGAACAGAAAAAAAAGAAGATGGATAATCCTAAATTCAGTCTCGAGAAATTTATTGTATTGTCATTTCACTTGAAGGATAAAACAATTTATTGTAAATATGAGTGAAATAATCAGGGTGTTATAAAGGCTGCCGATTTTTACTTTAGAGAAGTTATGAAACAATTGTGACATTGTGTTAAAATTCCAGCGCAATGATCCTGCCAAAATTAAATAAAACTGTGCTTTTACCATAAGAATAGAAATGAAGCCAAAACTACACAAAGGATCTTTTCTTTTATGCCTCTTTTTATTTGTCTTTTTAAAGGTGAGCCCAGAATTAGAATGACTGAAGAAGCAACAAATAATGTGAGTTGCCAAGGCCACATACATGTGATGAGAATTTCAAAGGATTCTGATGTGCATCTTTCCAAAATACAACAGCTGCCTGGAACAGCAAAATGTCTTGGACAGGTTCTAGGTCAGCTTACAAAAAAAGATTTAAATTGTAGTTCAGCAGATAAATTTAACTCCTTGGAGTAAATTTTAGATTAAATTAGTATTGTTTTGTTCTATTGAAGTTAATGGGACTGGAACTGTAGCTACAGAAATACATCTGCAGGGCACCAGGTTAGGGAATGTGTTTTTTTGGGGTACAATGATTTAAATGAGATGAAGTACAGTTGACTAAATTTGGATCCAATTTTACTATCAATACAATATCAAAAGTACTGGCATATTTGTATGTTCAGTGGCTGATTAGTTCAAATTAGTAATCTATTATTGCTCCATGATATGGAATAATCATTTTGCAATATCAACTATTATTGTTGTCTGGTTAGAACGCGTTAGACATTAGTCCATGATTTATTTTTATCAGGAGTATTTTCTTTCAAAAGAAGGAGAGTTAATATGAAGAACTGCATTAAAAAAATGCTAAATAAGGAGTTAGGGTTCTCAGTGTCAGTGTCCATTACCAAGAACAAAGTTTCATAACTTTCTAAAAAATATGACTGAAAATATCTGCAGTTGGTTTTGAGGGACCTTCTCAGCCTATTTCCAGGACTTAATATTTGAATTTTGGCTTCTCACTAAAAAAAGTGAACATTTTTATTTTATATTAATACTTGCTGTGGAAAGTTATAATTGTAGAGAAAAACATTTTTAATGGAATATTATTTCTTCTGCCTGAAAAATATAAAAGATAACAGCTCATATATTCAAGGAGATGTGGACAGCCAATGATGCAACAATTCATTTAATTACAATACAAAGCTATTTTAAGAACTTCATCATCTTTTAAAAGTATAACCATTTTTGAGTGGAACTCGAATTCTGAATGCTATATCCAAATGCTGACCTGTCTTAATCCCAATTACCTTTTCATATCAGCCAAGCTTGGCAATATACTAAGGCATATACTGCTTTATTTTTAATTTTTAAAGAAAAAAGAGAGAAATAGAGAGAAAGGAAAGAAAGAAAGAAGGAAGGAAGAGAAAGAAAGAGAGGGAGGGAAGGAAGGAAGGAAGGAAAGAAAGAAGGAAGGAAGGAGAAATGCAGCATTTGTGTATATGCAAACATTTTAAGGATAACACTACTTCAAAAATTTTAGTAAAGATTTTTAATGACATCTTGGGGAACGGAGAATGATCACTGCACATAATTTCTTTTTTTCCTTTTGGATTCCAGAAATTAATCAAGAGATTAGCATTCATTTTATCATGCAAGATGGTATGTGAAAAATAATCTTAGTGTCAGAAGGTTGCAAATGGTGATCATGTGACCCCAGGACACAGCAACCCTCATAAATATGAATCAGTTGTCAAGCATCAAAATGTAAATCATGTGACCCTAGGATGCTGCAACAGTCATAAGTGTGGAAAATGGTCATAAGTCACTTTTTTCAGTGCTATTGTAATTTTGAAAGGTCACTAAATAAACTGTTGTAAGTTGAGGACTACCTGTATTACTCATGATTTTTTTTCTTCCTTGGCTTTCAGAAATATTATAGTGAAATAATGTAAAATTATTTTACTATTTTAATAAATGTCCTACTCATTCATTATTTAAAAAAATAAAATTTGACAGATCAACTGTGTTTATTTCATTATCAACCAATTTCCTTATGAGTAATAAATAATATCACTAATTAGACAATTTTCTTAAAAATAAAATTGTTTGTTATTTTGCTTTCAAATGATATTTAGTCTTAAAAGGTTAAAAAATACCACTTAAACATATATAAAAGAGGTCTCGGCTAAATGTACGTATTTTTTTTTAAAGGGTGATGTAAAAAAAATAGATGAGGAATTTCCCTTAAGTCATTTTCAGAAACTATTGGAGAAATTTTAATTTGCAGTTGCTTCTTGGATTTGCATAAAATGCTCATGAACTAACTTATGCCTTAAAAAAAGCAAATTTAGACATATTATTATAGCTAAAATAAATATCTGTATCTCTCTGCAGTTTGGAAGATTGTGATTAGTTGAGTTTGCGTGCTATTGTTCATTTTGCAATTTCAAAAGTCCTGTTCTTGTTTGAATTCTGAAATTATTACATAGTCCTCAGTAGAGAGCACTATAAAATGAGGAATGTCAATCAACAGCCAAGTAGAAAGCAGTTATCTGTAAACAAAGATGTTTTGTCACCTTACTTAACATTCAATTTCAATACATAGCCCACTTGTTGTTACATTGATTAGAAGTGAAAGGCTTATAAATATTTGTTTTAATTGTTATTGGTATTGCGTGTGAGTATACTGCAAGTTGCTTTAAAAGAAATTACTTGCAGAAAGGTTTCTAAATGAAGACATAGTTTAATTAAAAAATATCCATGGAACAATATTTGCCACAAAAATGAAGATGGTCAGGCATGGCAGAGTTATTTCACTGAATGTAGACGTGGTTTGGTTTTCATGAGTTAGTGGAATGAAAATGGATTTTCATGAAAATGGTTATAATTTAAAGAGAATGCAGACCTCACTAATTGTTATAAACAAAACTTGAAAGCATTGTGGAACTGGCACTTTCTACTAGAATTTTTGGATAAATCTTTGGAAATGATGGAAGAACATTTAACCCAAATCCCATTTCTTCCTTCTAATTCTGATACCAAGCCTGGTTTCCCAAGTGAATATGGTCTAACCATTCTTGAAAAACATTTTAGTTTGTGTTAAAATTTTATATTATATTCAGTGTGATTAAACTAAAAGTATCATAATATTTTTAAAAAGCAGACTAGTCAGAATAGTTTATTGGTTGGTTTGAAGAAAGGTTGGGATTTGATTTATTGATTGTATCAAGCTGATATTGACTCTTTGAGAGCACAT